AATATTAAACTTAAATCGTAACCACATAATTTTTGCTGAATTTGCAGAATTTGCTGAATTACTGTTGATTTCTTGCAGAATTTGCTGAATAATATCAAANTTAANNGGTAANAGGAGAATTTTTGCTTTATTTGCTGAAGTTGCAGAATTTTTTTAAAAAAGTAATTAATGTTGAAAAAGTAATTAATTTTAAAAAAGTAATTATTTTTTTCAAATTTAAATGGTAATAATAATTGACCAATCACAAAAAAAATTGCAAAATACTAGTACTTATACTATATTAAAAAGTTAAAAAGTACTTAGTATTCTCAAAACATCTTACATTTTGAAAGAAAAAAAACTGAACCCGAATTCAACTTTATTTTTCTTGATTTATGTCGGTTATGCAACTTTTTTTTTCTTTATTTGTGTTGGTTATGCAACTTTTTTTTTCTTAATTTATATCGATTTGTGTCTGTTTCTGTTTTTTATACAAATTCTACAAATTTTATTCTACCAATTTGTCTGCTTTGACGAAAGATAGTTATTAAAAAAAAAAAATCTGACAAGGGGTGCAAGTGAGCGGACCCAAAGTAGAATCTGACGTGGAAAAAGGCAGAGTTTGGTTTAGATTCCTCAGGTTAATCTGAAGATTTGGTAATTATACAATGTGGCAGAGACCTCGATAAGCTTTTTAGAAATAGCTAATCAGAGAGCGACATGTCACATTATTTGACCCTCTTCTGCAGTCTCCTAGCTTAAAGTACAACAAAATTCGTGCCTTATTTATATGGTTTTGAACTTTTTCTTTCACTTTTTAAAATAGTATTTTTTCGTTGATTGGAAAATAGTTATGTCTATTTTTTTTTGTAATCTGATTTACGATGATTGAAATCTTACTAAACACGATGAGTCGTCCCAAAAATATTGGTGGCTATGTTAGAGCCATAATATTCATTCTTATACTGTAAAATAGAGTTTTGTAATTGACAGAAGTTGGATAATATAAAAACCGGTCGATGGTGTAAAGGTGAGATATCGATCAAGCAAATAAGCGAAAATG